AAATTGGTAGATACAGTAGAATGCAATCACCAATATAATTTAAAAAAAAATCATGCTAGTAACTAATGTCACTTTCCTGCACATATCTACTTGGTAATACATCTAATACAGTAGAATGCAATCACCAATATAATTAAAAAAAAAATCATGCTAGTAACTAATGTCACTTTCCTGCACATATCTACTTGGTAATACATCTATTGTTTTCATTTATTATTACTAGGTAAATATATGTATGGTTGCAGCCTAAAGGTCTTTGTCCTGATTATATATACAATTTGGCTATAGGGTAAAGAGTTCTTTTTTTGTAGCCCTGTATGAAGCTTTCCCTCCCATATGACACCTACTCAGAAACACACACTGGATCACATTCTTTCTCTATGCCATGATTGAGTTCCTGAAATAAAAGCTGCTTTCTAATGCCTGGTAGGTTTATTATTTTTACGAGTCAGATTAGGGTCAACTGATGTTTAGCTTTACTTACCTAGTTAGTCTGAAATATTAATGGAATTGTTATGAGAAGACAAGCACTGGATAGCACCATTCATTTGCCTTTGTATCCAGCACAGACTTTCACAATGCTTATCTTTATATGTTGGACATCTTCTGTATGTACATTTAGGGATGTTACATATTTGGAAGGCTTTTTTGCCCAGTGCTGCATCTCTTGCTCACTACCAAAGGTTATTTAATACAATTTTGGAAGATCAAAACAACAGAACAGAACAACATTGTGATTACTTCATAATTTTGACTTTGATTTTTTGATTAAGGGAACTCCTCTGCTCTAAGGAAGTAAGACAGGAACAATGAAATCCTCTTAATTTTCTTTAATTTCTTTTGTGTTTTATATCTTCTGAGATCTGGCTAAACTGCTTGTTTAGTTTTTAGAAAAGCAGCAAAATGTGGTAGCTGTATTGCTATTTATGAGGTAAAGATATGGAAGATATGTAATAGTAGTTACATATTACTGGTATAGTACATGATAGTCATGTTTATTTCATTTAAACAATATATAGTATGGCTGCCCATCTCTCAACAGTGACTCATGACAGATGCACCAATAAGATTAAAACAATAAAACATAATACAAAAATAACCTAAAATAATAATGGTGATGATGATATATAATGCATCCCTACCTAGAGAAGCCTTATATGAGGGGGGCTTCTACTTAACCTCATGATATTTATCCTGTAGGGTTTCCTACAGTAACATCCCCAGTACTTTTTGACATCTGTGTGAAGCTATGTAGAAGGGGCGAGTACAGTGTTATAAGGAAATCTGATGTGAAGTGTTATCTATATCTGTACCTCTATCGCATCAGATTAAGCTGTTTGTGCCTGGGTGCTGTATATCGTACCTGCATGCTATAATAATCTAGATGTGAATAAATTAATTAAAATTGAATCCTGAGAAGATGGTAGGAGATGGGTCTCAGGTTTAGATAATTGGTATTTTTTCTGTTGTGGTTGAAGGTATCCTTGGCTGGATTGTTCCTGCCATTTACTCCTGCAGTTAGGACCAAGAAATTATTTTGTAGCACCTGTATGGCTTTAAAGAGCAAAGTCCCAGCTAGTTGTTCTGCCTGCGTACTGCAGTAATCAGGTCACTATTTTTTTCTTTCCTTTATTATTTTTTACTGTTTATTTATTATGTGGGGACAACCGTGACCCATGAGGCTTAGGAAGTCCCAGGAAAACATTTGGATGGTTTGGATAACCATTTTCAGGCTTGATTCTTTGATTTCCGGTCTCATCTGCCTATGCATCTCTTCCTTCTGCTCCCTGCAAGGATCATCTCCAGTGGTTTTGTTCAAGGGGTCAACGGCCATCTGGGCTACTTCCTCAAGGGTAGTGGGGTTATCCTTAATCTATTTGGGGAGTCAAGGGACCTTGTGGGTTAGCAGGGTCAGATCAGTATGATGGAGATTTTTCTGCCCTCCAGTGACTGACAGTGTAACTAAGTTTTATCCCTCTAATTCCATTATTCTCTTAATTACTGTCCTGGGTACCCTGACTGAGAATTTGTCTCCACCTACAACTGTTCACATGGTGGCTGCTTTCTTTGAGAGGCACAAGAAAGAGAAGTATCTTGCCCAGCTTCTACAAAGTTCCCAGAGGAGCTCTTCTCAAAAACTCTGAAAATGCTAGGGGACCCTCAAAGAGAAGGGAGTGCCCAGTATAGTCATAAGGGGGAAACATCACCTTGAATGATAGGCATGGGTTCCCTGAATGGGTTCCATTCTTCTATGCCTTTAGGCTGGGATGAGGGTGATCAGTAAGGAAATGGCTTCCATGGACTCTGTAAAATTGTTTCTACAACCACACTCTTGGTCATGAAGGTGTGTAAAACCTTTGGATCCAAGGAAGCACAGTCCTAGCTTTCCATGGAATCATTGTTGGACCTAGGGGAAACTGATTTCACACTACAGGCAAGTATCTCCTCCCAGATACAAGTGCCAAAATTTGCACTGACAAAGCTCTACATATTATACTAACTTGGAAAAAGTTGTGGTTTTATTTCTGCTCCTATTTCCAGTTTTTGCTGTGTGGTCAGGCTTCACATCAGGGCTATGCAGTAAATCACAACTCTCTGAGCACTTTAACCCCCTATTAAGCTCTTTGCCTGACTTGGCAGAAGATTGATAGACACAACTCAGCTACTTTAGAATATTTACTGCAGACAAGACTGAAGCCTTAAACATAATGGTTGATTTTTCCATTCCCATATCTATCTGTTCGATTGTCCACACATCCATCCTCCAGGGTTTATTTTCTAAGCCTTTTCTGATTTAATGGATACTTGAAGACCCCAACAATAAAAGAAATACCTTAATGAATATCTTAGTAATGAGAGAAGATTGGCATATACAGTGAAACTTATAACTTCCTTACTCATCTAGGCACTTTTATTTTGTAATACATTTCTTAATTCTTACATATTGGACTGCTGTTTTTTTTCTGTCGTATTGATTATATGTAAGCCTGAAATCTGGAAAAAAAAAGTTATATTTATTTTAAACAAGAAAACATCATAGTCAGTTGTATACTTGTGTAAATCCAAGGTATTCAAATTACCTTGGTCTGTGTAAATCTTAACATATTGTGCAATAGGAGTCCCCTCTTTCTCCTGTGTCACACAAATCTACTGTGGAGACAACTTCTTCTGGCACTAGGAGGAATCATTATATATAACCCCGTTACTTGTCAGGCAAAATAAAACTCATCAAGCACATTCTTCAAATTACTAATCTATAACAGTACTATTAAAATCTATTGAATAAATTATTTGAGAATTAAAGCATTTTACAGTATTTTGTAAGGTATTACTTGATAGTAATGTTCACAAAATGTTTGGAATCTTAAAATACTACACTACATTTTTATAGCTAACAGACTTTTTCTATATTGTAGACTGTGCAAATCCACTTGGGGTCACTGTTCCATATACAATAAGAATCCACCTCTTGGATTTTCTTTTAGAAAACTTTATATGCAACTAGATGAAGGCAGCCTCACTTTTAACGCCAATCCTGAAGAGGTAAGTAGAATTCATATTGCATTAATAATATTAGGTATAGTTATGATGCTATTTATTTTTCAATTACTTTGTAGGTCCCAAATTATCACAGAAATAATAATCTAAGGAAAAACTGTGTCTCTTGAAGAACAAAAATGACATATAACAAAGCTTCAAAATTATGCTTGAAGAATTTTATTTATACTCTACGAAATACAGAAAGTGGAGTCATATAATTTGCATATGGAACACAGCCAATGGGTTGTGAACACTTGAGATATGAATCCCTTACTCTAGTTCAGGGATCAGGGGAGTACAAGGCTACAAGGACAATCTTGAGCTATTAAATGGTCACTTGGATATATACACTATTCTTGTTAACACCACACAGATACAATTATCTGTCTTGAATGTTAGGGGAAAAGGAAACACTGCTGCAGCAGTACAAGCTACTCTTTGAGTTGGAGATGGATTCTAATGTGTGGATATAAAATGTGCTTTTTTAGAGCTAAGCAGTTTGGCAGTGAAATACCAGATTGTACTGCTGAAGCATAAGACAAAACTTTCAAACATTATGTCTCTGCATTTATTTATTTATTAAATTCCTGGGCCACAATCAAGTGTTCCTCAGTGTTGTACAAAGATAATTATAAAATACATAAATATAAATTATATACAATAACAGTACAGTTGCAGAAATTGAAAACAATAACAGCGGTATAAGCACTTCTATGGTGTTTATATTTATAAACACATTATAAATATGTATTTTAAAAGAATGTAATTTTGGAAAAATAACATAGCCGAACCTTTTGAATGGAAGGATCACGAGGTGATCCCATAAAAATTTAAAGTTTTTTTTTAATTGAAATGAACATCTGAATAATGTTTATAGAAAGTGAATATTTCTGTAATAAGGAAATGATAAAAGAACTAACAAATAACATTGTATGACACATTATAGTTTGTGATTTTTGTGAACATAGGTTTTACACTGGGAATGAGTTTTGTAGTTCAAGACATGTATAGTACATATACAGTAGTCCTCACTTAACTATCATTCATTTAACGACAGTTTGAAGTTAAGATGGCCTTGGAAAAAGTGCTTTACGACTGTTGTGAACTATCACTCCACCCCCTGCAGTCATGATTTGCAACCTTTTTTATGACAGTTGTAAAGCAAGTCACTGCTGTCATTAAGCAAATCACGTGGTTGTTAAGTGAATTCCGGCAAAACATTCCATTGGGGAAGCTGGATTCACCACATGATTTGCTTACAATGGTCATAAAATAGGGTCCAGTTCACATGGTGACTTGCTTAACAACCACCCTGCTTAATGACCAAATTTCTAGTCCCTATTGTGGTCATTAAACGAGGACTACCTGTGACAGAATTTGAACGTATGCATGCAAAATCATCCATTTATTACAGTATGACTTTACACAACAAAATATTAAAGTGGCTACCTTCATATACATTGAAAGGACACATATTTTGGCTATTTCTTTTCTAGAAGGCCAAATTAGGAAATTATATATGGATCCACAGGAATCATAAATCTGCATCTTTGTGTCACAGTAAAAAAAAAAAAAAGTTATTTGTGGAGAGAAGCTTTTTCCCTGCTGCTTTAATACATATAAATCTTTACTATAACTATACCAACACATGTATTATTTACATATGAATTAGATTAAATATGTTGAAATGTACCTCATAAGATAGAATTTCTCTGTAATTGTTCAGATTTGTTCCATATGAAATACTCTGGGTGTTTAAAAATCTAATGTTCCATATAAAATCTCTCTTTGTCCCAGGGAGTCAACTACTTCATGTCCAAGGGAATATTGGATGATTCACCAAAGGAAATAGCTAAGTTTATCTTCTGTACAAGAACTCTAAATTGGAAAAAACTGAGAATCTATCTTGATGAAAGGTAACTTGATTATGAAATGAGAAACTTCATATTCCCTTGTATTTATAAGGAAATAATGGGGTATTATTACTTATTTCTATATTACATTGTTATCACCTGTTGTAGCATTCATTCATCAAGAATTATCATACTCTGTTCATTTGTGGGTAAATTTACAGTCTGTTGAATCCCCAAAGGAAGTGAAATGAGGGACATCTGCTTCTGCATGCCTATATCTGGATTCAGATTTTCCATATATAAGGGGGAAATCAGAATGTCCCTTACCATCTTTTAAACTGTTGTTTCTTTAGAATTAGACATCCAAATGACAAGAACTATACTACTCTGTGCTGCTCATATGTTCACAATGTCATATGAAATTGACGACTGATTACATACAATTTTTTCTGGTTGAATAGTTTTCCTTTCATACATATGATGAAAGCAAGTATTTTGAGAGGGGCAGACAGAGAAAACTGAATATTTTATAATGTATCTAAAATAAGCAGCTCAAAATATTTTTCTTTTTAAATCAGGCGAGATGTTTTAGATGATCTTGTAACACTACACAACTTCAGAAATCAGTTCTTACCAAATGCACTGAGAGAATTTTTCAAACACATTCATGCCCCTGAGGAGCGTGGTGAATATCTTGAAACTCTTATTACAAAGTTTTCACACCGATTTTGTGCTTGTAACCCTGACTTGATGAGAGAGCTTGGCCTTAGCCCAGGTAAGAAGGGAGAACACCTATCTATTTTTATTAATGGGTTGAGATGTCATATTGTACTGTAAACTTTAAAATTTGACAAGTTTAGCATATGTCCACATTCATGTTTAAATCTAATATTGTTTAATAGCACTGAATCAGCCAAAGGCTTTGGGCACCAGTGTTGTACATTCTTGTTGTAAGGCTTGAAAGAATTACAAGTAGGCTGGTGTGGTTCTTCCGGGCTGTGTGGCCGTGTTCTGGAAGTTTTGTTTCCAGGAAACAAAACTTCCA